CTATTATTGCTTATACCCTCTCTTCAACAAAATTAGAGAAAAGGGCAAAATAGTTTCTGCTGGGTATCGAGGGGCTGGGGGGGAGAGGGAGGGGGCGGGGTGGGTGGTAAGGAAGAGGGTGGGGGCAGGTGGGAGAAATGACCCAAGCATTGTATGCACATATGAATAATAAAAATAAATAAACAAAGCAGACATTTATTCTTTCACAGTCCTAGAGACCACAAGTCTGAAATCCAGGTGTCAGGATACCCATGGTCTCTCTGAAGGCTTTAGGAAAGAATCCTTTGCCTCTTCCTAGCTCCCAGTGGTTGCTGGAAATCCAGGGTGTTCTTTAGCTTGCAGACATAGCATTCCAATCTTTGCACACATAGTGCTTGCTCTCCCCTATGTCTATTTGCTCTATATCTTTACAAGGTGACCTCTTTGTATATGTTTGTATTCAAATTTTCCTCTTCTAAGGACACCAGTCATTGGATTAAGGCCTTCTCTAATCCAGTATGACCTCATATTAAATTGATTCAAGTACTCTATTTCTAAGTAACAGGTACCAGAGATTAGGACTTGAAAATAACATTTTGGGGTACACAATTCAATCTACAATAGAATACCCTCTGGTCCTCCACAATTCATGTCTTTCTTATGTGCAAAATACATTTGCACTATCCCAACATCACCAAGAGATTTAACCAGTTCTAGCATTAACTCTAAATCCAAACACTCACCTTTTGAATACTATATATCAGGTATCTATGAGACTCTGGGTACAGGTTCCTGGGGCAAAATTCTTCTCCCTCTGTGGACCTGTGAAACCTAGAAAATGAGTCAGACATTCCCATTCTGAAAAGGAGAAAATAAAAGGAATAAAGGGGCCACTGGTCTAAAAAAAGTTGGAAATCCAAAAAGGCAAATTCCATTAGGTTTCCAGGCCTAAAAATAATTATCCATGGCTCAATGTTCTGTCCCCTGGCTCCACCCTTTCTGTCCACCTGACTGGCATCCTCCCTCTGTAACCAAAGTGTCCCAAATTCTGGAACCTAGGAAGCAATCTCACCTTCTGGAACCAAAGAGACAATGGTCTTACCCCCTAGGCCCACACTCCTGTGGTGACAACAGCAGTACTTTTTAAGCCTCCATCAGCAGCCGTGCTGGCCTCTGAGCTATATTTGGAAGTCATTCTTCCATTTCCCTGAAGGATAATATAAGTTCACAGCTGAATAGCTTTATCAGTCTGTTCCATGCTGTACAGTCTCAGAAATCTGACAACCTTATTCATTTGTCCTGTCTCTGTCCTTTTCAGTACATGATGACAATGTCCTGCTGATTGGACCCATGTGTCCCACACTTAATCTCTCTAGAAAAAGTTTGTCCAGCTATACCCTTGAGGTTTCCTCCAGGATATATATTTTTGTGATTTGATTAATGGATAGATTGAGAATTTTTCAAATCTTCAAGTTCTGGTAACCTTTCATGTAATAGTTCTGTGATAAACTGAATTGTATCCCACTCTCCCAAATTCATATGTTCAAGCCCTAGCTCGCAATGTGACTATTTGGAGATAGGATTTTCAGTAGAAAATTAAAGTTAGATGCTGTCATAAGGGCGGAGTCCTAATCCAATAGGACTAATGATTGCTTAAGAAGAGGAAAAGAAGCTGAGCACCAGTGACTCATGCCGGTACTTGGGAGGCTGAGATGGGGAGGATCATGGGTTGAGGCAAAAAGTTTGCAAGACCCCATCTCAACCAATGAAACTGGGCATGGTGGCATAAGCTGTCATTCCAGCAAGGGCAGGAAGCATAAATAGGAGGATCTCAGTCCAGGCTGGCCTGGACAAAAAAGTGTGACCCTATCAAAAATAACCAAAGCAAAAAGGCTGGAGGCATAGCTCAAGCGGTAGAGCACTTGCTTAGAAAACATAAAGCCCTGAGTTCAAACCCCAGCCCTACCAAAAAAAAAAGAAAAAAGGAAAAGAGAGATCTTTCTTTTTCTCCACATACATGCCATGTGAGCATACAGTGAGATAGTGGCCATCTAAAAGCCAGGAAGACAGCCCTTACCAGAAACCGAATAGGTTGACACTTTGCTCTTGGACTTCCCAGCTTTAAACTGTGAGAAAATAGATTTCTGTTATTTAAGCCACCCAGTCTATATATTTTATTATGGAAGCCCAAGCAGACTAACACAAGTTCCTCCCTCAAAATAATCTTTCCTCTTGTATTTTACATACTCATCAGAGAAACCAGACCACACCTTCCATGTGCTTTGCTTGGAAATCTCAGCTACATATCCAAGTTTATCACTTACACATTCTACTTTCCACTCACCTGTAGAATGAAATTCAGCCAGTTCTCTGTCACTCTTTCTGTCAGTATCCTATAATACTTCTCATTACCATCAGAGACCTCACCAGTAGCACCTTTAATGTTCATATCTCTAGCAATGTTCTGTTCAAATATAGCCTTTTTACTATCTTGCCCTCAAAATTCTTACAGCTTTTACCTATTATCCAACTGCAAAACCACTTCTGTATTTTTAGGTATCTGTTACAGAAGCACCCACATCCCAGTACCAAAATCTGTATTAGTTTCCTAGGACTGCTGTAACACATAACCAACAACTAGATGGATTAAAACAAAAGTGACTTATTCTCTCATATTTCTAGAGTCTAGAAGTCTGAATTCAAGGTGTCAGCAAGGTCACAGTTTCTATGAAGGCCCTTCAGGAAGATCCTTCTTTGCTTCTTCCTAGCTTCTGATGATTACAGGCAAATTTGGCATTCCTTGGCTTACAGATGTATCACTCACGTCTGCCTCCATTGTCACCTGGTGCTCTCCCCTGCATCTGTGTGATCTACATCTTTACAAGGTGTTCTTCTCTCTGAGTGTGTCTGTCCATATTTCCTTCTTCCAATAAGGATACCAGTCATTGGTTCAAGCATCTCTCTAATCCAGCATGACCTCATCTTAACTTGATTACATCTGTAAAGACCCTATTTCCAAACAAGGTCACATTCACAGGTACCAAAGGTTAGAGCTTGAACATATTTTAGGAGACACAATTCAACTAACCACACATACTCATCCAGGGTTGGATGCATCAAAGTTTCCTTATAGAATAAGATGAACACAATAAACATAAATTCCATGTCCTCAACTGTTCAACCTAAGTAATGTCCATTAAATACATCCCTTTATATTGAATATTCTTCCTGGGATGAATTCTACATTTCTTCTACGTGGTCCTTTAGTACCTTGCACATTTTTAAAGAGTTCATTTATCACTCTATACTGGAATGATCTGTTTAGAATTTGTCACCTTCAATAGACTATGAGCTCCTGGCAGGCAATAACTGTGGCTTTCATCTCTGCAGCTCCAGTGCCTAGTATGTTACATGACACATAACAGCTTCCTAGTAATTACTGGAGGAGGTAAAGAGTTTGAAAGGAAGAAAGATGTCTGTAGAGTTAGACTATAGTGACTTGAGGAGTAAAAAGAGGCTGGGACCCCAGAGATGTAGTCAAAGCCAAGACTACATCTGATCTCTCCACCTGCTACTCTGATATTCCTGGAGCTTTCCAGGGTTTCAATATACAACAAACATTCCAGTCACAAAGGAATTCCAGGCCATTACTTGATGAACCTTTAGCTCAGAAAAATAGCTTTTCCTTCCAGAAGCTTCTAGGTCAATCTAGCAGTAGTTTAGCACATAGCCAGCATGCCAGGGGAAGGGAGAGTGATCAGAGAGTGCTATGTGCTGGCTATGTCTTGGATGCTTGGATGGCTAATTCCTGTAAATTGACCAAAGTTGAACTCTTAATGTGGCAGAGTCCTCAATAGCTCTCCCTCCAATGGACTGGTTATCAACTGATGTCAGGGAGAACACATAGTTCTTTTAAAAGTCTTGTCTTGCCTTTACATATATAGCCCATTTTAATGTCAGGAATAAAAAGCTGTATGCCTTGTCTAAATTCTAAAGGAAGGCAGAGAAACAGAAAATCAGGCATTCACAGGAATTAGATAAATGATGAGGAAGTTCTGCGTAGGTATACCCAGAAGAAACTTGGGGGTTTTCAGTGTCTACCTTTTCCCTCTCCTTTCAACTACAAAACTATTGCTGGTATATACTATGCCTTCCTCACAGTCATGCAAGGTCAGGCTGTAATATGCAAATACAGCATTCATAGGCAGGTTAACAATAATGTCAAATTCATTACCATGAAAGAGGACACCAAACAGAATGTCACTCCATGAGTACAGGGACTTTGTCTTATTAATTACTGCATCTCACATGCCTTAAAAAAGTACCAAGCATATAGTAGTTACTCAGTAAATATTTGTTTAATGAGTTATTGAATAAATTTAACTTATTAACCAGGAAACTGCTGTAGGTAGTCAGAGCGTGGTCTTAAGAAAAGGATTCTTAACAAGAAGCTCCTGAGATAAGGAATTAAAAGATCCTTTACCTGTTGTCCTGGTTAGGCAATGTTCTAATTGCTAGGCAGCAGAGAAGCCAGGAAGGGAATGCATATCTCCAAGAGGCAGTTAAGCCTGACATGTATTCCTTAGTCGAGAGTCAGAACCCTGCCTCCTCCCTTTCTTCACTGGCCAGAACATTTAGATATCACTAAATTTATAACTCACCACCCGTTTTGTTTTCTACTTAAAAGAGAACTAAGGCCAAGTCTATTAAGAGCAAATTTTGCTTGGATTAAAACAATTTAGTGGTTGACTAAGCAGTATAAAGATCATTGCTCTTGCCTTCAGCTCCTATTTCAGGATCTTCCCTTCTATTTCCCCTCTCTAAAACCACTAGCAAACAAAACAAAAAGACCAAAAAAAACCAAAAACAGGTATTGGCTACAACTTTCAATCTTCCCCATTCACACGCCCTGACACCTATATAGCAGACCATTTTAGCCTTAACTGCAGATTTTCTGGCCTTCCCTAATCCATCTCTGTGATTAACCCTCCATTTTCTCTCTTCTCTTTGATTTACTTTAGATACCTGCAGCAGAAAACAACCCTTTCCTTGTTGGAATGCACTATTGGTATTCCAGCCACAGTTCCCGGACTCAGCACTGCAATGTTTGTCGAGAGAGTATTCCTCCCTTATCTAGAGATGCCATCATCTGTGAAGGTAATTTTCTGATTCCTCTAGAAAGTGAACTACAGTGAGTAAAGATAGGGGTGAAGGAATTCAAGTGGCTTTAGTATCATTGACTCACTCTAGGTGTGACGTTAACCCTGATAGAGGAAAGGAGAAGGGAGGAGCTAACATGAAGGGAAGTTCTCATGAATAAAAATACAGGATTGGGTATGGGAGGATGGGACTATATGATGATAAGGGTGGAAAAGACAGAAATCACATCATTCAAGTTGGATAGTCGAAAGTTTGACCAGTAAGAATCAAAAGAAACTGATTCATAATGGAAATAGGCCTTTGAAGAGGGTCAGAACTATTTAGAATGTCTCAGGATTCTAACTTTTAGAGCAGCTCAGGGAAGGGAATTAGATTCTTTATTATCACCATATTCACATCCAACCTTTTTCTTCCTCTTCTCAGTGTGCAAAGTAAAATCTCACAGATTGTGTGCTTTGAGAGCCAACAAAGACTGCAAGTGGAATACCTTGTCCATCACAGATGACCTGCTCCTGCCTGCAGATGAAATAGTAAGTACCAGTTGTGCCTTTCCACAGTCACCCTCTTCCATGTCCACATTCAATCAAGACACCCAGGGATAGAAAAACTTTTCCTCTTACTAAATAATAAAGTAGGCCCTTTCCCCAGGCTTATAGTCCAACCAGTCTCAAGAATTATCCTCCTCAACTCCCACGTTTCATTGATCACTACCTTTGGAGCCAGGAGGGCAGAACCATGAATAACTTGGGGCTTTTACCTAACGTCCTCTGTGGGTAGTACAATTATTCCAGCTGGACTTTCCTTCCTTATGTCACTAACTTCTACCTCTTGTCTTTTTGTTCCCTTCAGCAAACAATGCCCCATCAATGGGTAGAAGGCAACATGCCTGTCAGCTCTCTGTGCGCAGTATGTCATGAGAGCTGTGGCAGTAACCAAAGACTACAAGATTTCCGCTGTCTGTGGTGCAATTCTACGGTAAGACTCTTCTCTTCTCCTTGATACCTAAAGAACTTGACTTCTGGAGATGGACTGGGTTGGAGTTTAGTGGTGCATATACATAGATAGAAATCTCAGAGATCTTTATCCCCAAATACATTATATAGATTCCAGAGTATAGAGGTCAGTATCTTGCCACTCTAGATCTGTCTATGGAGTCTTTGGGATAAAAAATTTAAGATGCTTGTATCTGGTGGTTCTTAATTGGTGGGACCTTTTAGCAAGTAAGAAAAACTGAACTCTCTAATGGCGGTGTGGGCAATTAAAAAATAAATTCTGAGTCTAATCTTAAGAACCCTTCTCTTGGCTGGGCACCGGTGACTTGCGCCTAATCCTAGCTACCCAGGAAGCAGAGATCAGGAGGATTGCAGTTCAAAGCCAGGTCAGGCAAATAGTTCACAAGAGCCTATCTTGAAAAAACCCATCACAAAAAAGGGCTGGCAGGGTGGCTCAAAGTATAGGCCCTGAGTTCAACTCCATGTACCACAAAAAAAAAGAATCCTTCTCCTTCTTAATTCACTACTTCCTAGAGACTTATAATCTTTATACATCAATAATGGTGAATAATATTAAGAAATTATCACTGCCACTATGTATTGAATATTTTATATTCATGATTTCAATCCTTACAACAACCTAAACTGGCCTCATTGTCTCCATCTTATAGATGAGGAAAGTGAGGTTCAGAAAGGTCAAGTGATTTGCCCAAGGTCACACAGCCAGCAAACAAGTCTTGATTTATATATAATTCTGTAAAGACTATGCTCCTAACTACAAACACTGCCATGCCTCTAAACCAGTGGTCTTCAACTGGGGATAATTTTGCCATCCCCACCCCCCCCAAGAGTTGGCAATGTCTAGAGACATTTTTGATTGTTACAACTAAAGGGAAGGGTGCTACTGGCATGTAGTAGATAGGGACCTGGGATTCTGCTAATCTTCTTACAGTTCACAGAACAGCATCCCATAACAAAGAACTATCTGGCCCAGAATAGCAATAAGACAGAGGTTCAGAGACCCTGATCTAGACTTTCTAGCCTTTTCAATTCTTCTCTCAAACTGGGTTTTTGAAGACAAGAAGAAACTGAAATATGAGCTTGACCATTTTTTTCTTCTTGTCCATTTTTCTCCAAAGCTATTTGGCCTTTCCACTCAAGCCATATTCTACACATGTCCATGTTAAAGTCAAAGTACATTTTTCTTACAAATTTTCTGGTTGGTTTATACAAATCATAAATTGTTGCTTGGTTATCAAGGTGACTGATGGTGCATCTTATACTGAATAGCCAATGTTTCTTTTTTTCCCCCACCTGCTTTCTTTTAATTGCTTTGAATAACCAGGCCAGATTCATTTCCCCTAGAAACTGTGTAATTGTCCAGTTCACAGTGCTTGAAGATGTCAGAAACCTGGGAAGAATGGCCACTTGTGGCTATTCAGTTTCGCTACTTCCCAGCTATCTCACTGGGAAGCAAGACCTTTTGCCTCTGTGAGCTTTGGTGGATGTTCATTTGTAACTTGAATCTAATAATGTCTTCCCTACCATAATGTCATAAGGATTGAAGTATAATACCAGAGTATCAGGATTAGGACTCATACTGTAAGTAAGCTTCCCATTCTGTAGGCTGCTAAGATTGAGTCCTAAGACTGGTGACTTCTCAGTGCCTGTAGATGGGTATCTCCTGAAAGCCAACTTTGAAAGGACCAGAATTTTGCATACTCAGGGACAATTGTAGGCTCAGGGTAGGATGAGGTTGGCCAGGTCAGTTAGGGGTACGTATGTGGCACCAAATCTCAGAAAGGGAGATTGCAGTATTAAGGATGTAATTCTTGGAACTGGAATTTAAGACTGATCAATGTTATTCTTTTCTCTCCCCCCTCCTTTTTTCTCTCTCTGTTCTTGTCGTTTCAGGTGCACAACGACTGCCAGAGACGGTTTTCCAAGGAATGTTGCTTCGGAAGTCATCGCTCATCTATCGTTCCTCCTACTGCTCTAAGCGACCCCAAAGGTGATGGTGAGTAGCTAAACCTTAACTTCAAAAATACACTGGGGAGGAAGGTGCAAAGGCTGGGAAGAAGGGCTGAAATTAAATTATTCTTCACAACAAGTCAAATATTTGGGGCAACAGAAATGTGTATGTGTGCATAGACAGCTCACGGTTCTCTTTAGAACTATGGGATGGCGTTGATCTTTCTGGTGTATATGTATGTGGAAATGTTCTCTGTAGCCTCTGTCACAATTCTTTCTGATGGATAAAGATTGATTTTGGCTTTTTCATGATTTCCAAACACTAGATAATGCACAAAATAAGTTTCTGTGTGTCAAAGTGGTCTAAGAAGAACTACTGAACGCCCAGATTATGTTACTTTTAAAATAGAAACTAGTATCAAAGTTGTTCCCAAATCTGAAACTAATGTAACCACTGCTCTAACACTCTTCACAGATGCTTTATCAATTCCTGGACCACAGTGGTTTATTGAGCACTCTATTAACACGGTGCTTGAAGGCATAGGCATTGCAGAACAAATGATTATTATGAATCCAGGATTTCAATATAATACAATTAACAATTTAATGTGGCATATGCTAAGTGTCAAAGGAATGGTAAACACATGGTCAAAAAGCGTAAGAAATGTTAAACTGTTGTAGGAAGTTGAGCAGAAAGAAGAGCAACTATGAGTTTTAGTCACCTACTAGCTAGGTGACCTTGGGCACGTCACTTATATTCTCTAAGTTTTACTTTGCCTATCTGTAAATGGGAATGAAGTTTTTAATTGTAAGAATAAATGGTAATACCAAAGGCCACAAGTATCTAGAAGCATAGTCCCAAAAGAGCACAAAATTAAATTCCCAATGTTCTTGGTCAACTAAATACCTAATTTTTTGTTTTGGCAAAATGAAAACTGTAGACTTCCATGGGGATAACTTACTCTTTTGCACTTGATAATTATGCCTTTTTGAGTTCACCTCTTCTTCCCTATGTCTGTTTCTTCTGAGAGTTTTTCTGCCATCAAGTTGTTCATTTGTTTCTCCCATTACTCATTATTAAAGAGTCGAGGCTGTCAAAATTAAAATCAAATATCACAGTTAAAAAGAGCTGACCTATTTTTACTACCACAAAAAATTGAGAAATCTAATATAGTTAGCACTGACATGCTACTATTTTACCAAGCCAGGAAAGAAATACATGGCTCATTAATTTCAGTTTGTATATGGTTAGTTTCACTCTATATATGGTCAATTTCATTTACTGAAAGAAAGTCCAAACCTTTCCCAGAATGTTTAAATCTATATTTCTCTAATGTGCTAATTTATCCATCTCTGACATGTGGGATGTACACTGGTCCAGGAATGATTAGTGAACCAACATTTTATTCACTTAAAAATTATCCCCACAGTGAGGCTGCTCATTTCATTGCCAATGAAGATCCAGCATTAGCTGGAAGCAACAAAAGGGGGAAAAGGAAAAGTAGATGATTTCCTTCATCAGAGAATAGAAAGGGCAAAAGGATTTCAGTACCACTACAGTACAGTTTTAGAACTAGACATATTCTATATTCATATACATTCAGAGCCCCCACACACACACACTTATGCACTCAGAGCCACTCTAGTCTCTTCCAGTTTTTTTCAACCTTAACACAGATACAGACAGACCTGAGATCATGGAGTGAGCCACTCACAGAGGTTCTGCAGGCAAGTACAACCATATGTGCCCATAATGTCATGTACAGACACTAAGTAAGCTCACTCAAGGATGCATGCATATATTATTCTCAGACCTACTCAAATATTTATCCACATATAGTCACCAACCAGACAGTTTACTAGAGAGAAGATGAGATTAATAACTCGGTCAATAAGAGATGCTTGACTGGCTAGGAGAGTTAAAGGACTAGGGGAAGGTGAGATTCATACAAGAGGAAAAGTAGCAAGCTAGTCAGTGGAATGAAAACTCAGGCTGCTAATAAAGTCAACATACTTTTGAATCAGATTTTCCCCTATATACACACAGGGGCCTGGGGCTGTTGGATTTGAGCAGAAGGCTCACCTTGGAATCCCACAAATCATCCCAACTATGTATAAAGGTGGCTGCTACCTCTTTTTCATAACTGGGTCAAACATGTTCTGTGTTTCCTGTCCTTATGGAAGTTTGTTTTTTAATTTTGGGGGTTTTTCTATCCCGTATCACTTCTTGTACTTATTATAGATCACCAACTAATGACATCACTACTTTATTTTGCTTAGAAGCATCTGAGTTAGGCTGTTGTTTCATCTAGTGTACACATCAAGTAGCTTTTAGCCTTTCCTCCTGGTGGGCTGTAATTTTGATCTACTTCAATCTCATTCTAAGAGAGCCCTTCTTTCTATCATGCATTACTTGACCTGGGACATTTTTGGAATGGCTTCAAACACCTCCCTATCTTCTTGACTCTGCCTGGGCTTCTTAGCCAGGCAGAGTAGGTTCCTGAGCTGGACATGATAGTGCAGACCTGTATTCCTAGCTACTTGGGAGGTGGAGACAGGTGGACCAGGGTTCAAGGTCAGCCTGGGCAAAAAGTTAGCAAGACCCTGTATCAAAAAAATAAGTCAGGCATGGTCATACACCAGCTACTCAGCCAATCTACTCAGGAGGCAGAGGTAGAAGGAATCACAGTCTGAGGCTGGCTAGAGCAAAAGCACAAGACACTATCTGAAAAAAAAAACTACAGCAAAAATGGCTCAAAGGGTAAAATGTCTGCTTGAGGCCATGTACTAAAAAAAATTAAAAAAGAAAAAGAGTAGCTTCCCTACTGGTAAGTCCCACCCCAGACAGATCTTTTTTGAATTTTTCAGTCATAGAACCTTGGAGATGGTAAAGTCCTTAAAAATGATCTAGTCCAACCCCTCAGCCAGCCTAGGGAATCCTCCAGCATCCAGCTGATGACCTTCTGAGGCAGCTCTTGCCAGTGTTGAGTAACACACACCCATTCATACATTAATTTACTCAGTCAAGATACTCCAGTTTCTGATGATGACTTCTAATTGCCCCTTTTCACTACTCAGTCTGCTAGGTAAATTCCTTCTCTTATTCTTTAGGGTCCAGCTCAAAATCAATCCTTGTCTTTTTTGTTTGAAGGCCTCTTCCCACTTCCCTAAATTAATTACTTCCTGTGCTATAAACCAAGAACACCTATCCCAGAGCACCTAACACAAGACTTTATAGTTCATCACATGTCTGTGAATCCTGTATCCCTAGCAATTGATCCGACTGGGTACGTGGTATATGCACAGTCAAGATTTGTTACAGAAATTCATTAACACATCTACTGAATTGTGCCCATATAAAAGGTCCAGTGCTGAGCAATCTAGAGACTAAGAGGTAACTAATAAGGTATCACTGATTGATACAGAGGTAGAATAGTGTAGGGAAGTGGTTGTCGAACATAAGTACACATCAGATTCATCTGGAAGATTTATTAACACAGATTTCAAGGCCCTACCCTCAGAGCTTTTCATTCAGTGGACCTGGGGGGGGCGGGGCAAATAATATGCATTTTTAAAAAGATTCCAAATGCTGCTGATGCCAGCACTCCTGAGAGCATGCTTCACCATTTACTGTGTGACCCTGGACAAGTTACTTAACCTCTTTGTGCCTTATTTGTCATTTGTTTTCTGCTAATAGGGAATGATAATTGTACTCAGGTGCATTATGAAGGTTAAATTCGTCCAACATTTGTTAAAGTGGATTTAAAAAGTACAGGAAGAGGAATAGTAAGCACACCTTATACCAATTTAGCATCCTTCTGTGGACTGGAAGAGAATAAATATGAGCATGGCTGCTGGCTGCTGGGTTAGAGCACTGTGGTCTTATGGATGCAGCTCAAAGAAACATGAGGTTTTTTTGAAAGGTTCTTTCAGGCTGTTGGGCTCATCTGCAATTTAAAGTCAACCAAATCCCCTAAGCTCTTTTCACACTTGAAGCTGTCAACCCAAGTCCCTATTATTCTGTTCTAGCATAACTTATGTCCTTGAGCCAGAGGCCAAGCTTCACACTTACTCCCTTGACATTTCATCTGTTGACTTTGACCCATAGGCCTGTTGAGTTTGTTTTCTAATCTTGATTCTGTCATCCAGTAGCCCTTTCTTCAGGTTTGGGTACTTCCAAGTTAACAAGTCAGCCTTCTGCGTTTCCATCTGAATTGTCAAATAAAATCATGCGATAGCACAGGGAGCTTCTTGTGAGTAGTATCAGACTACTCAAAAGCAGCCTGTGGGCAGAGTTGTTTACCTGAATATGAATCTGCCTAATATTTCTGTATGCTAGCTCACAATGGCACTCATTTTTGCCACCATGTTGTCTGGACAAACTTGGCCTTGCTCAAATTCAGATGTTCATTGCCTGTGGGGGAAATGCTAAATGGGGCTTCCCCTTTATTCTGGGACTGCTTTCTTTCTGGCACTGCTTCCTTTATGACTGAATGAGGTTTAAAACTGAAGCTCAAGCCACCTAATTACAGCATTTTCTTGTTATCTAACAGCTTCCAGTTCCCACCTTGGCTTATTTTATTAGTCCTTGAAACGTGCTACTATTATACATATGGAGAGATGAACCCCTAGACAGGTTAAGATGTTTGCTCTAGGTTAGCAAAGAAACCTGGAGAGCAACCAGGTATAGCACACAGCTGCACTCTCTTGTAGAAGTACACCACAGAAGGCAGCCCATGCTCCAAGCTACCAAACACAGCTAAAAATTATTTCAGTCCCACAGATAACATTAGCATAATTCTCATTTTCCTTTTCCTTAATTTGACTTTTACTGGCTAATATATTCACATAGTTCAATGTTTTTTTAAAAAAGAAAAACACCTACGCACTATTTAGGGAAAAAAAAGTCTTGCTGCTACCCTTTTTCTGATCTTCTCAATCTTCCGCAGCTCCGCAATCAGTTGGAGTCTACATTGTTGGTTGGGAGAGAAGCAAGAACATAAAAAGATACTACCATCAGTCTTCCCCGCACACTGTACAACAGCTATGCTACTGTCTTCACTGGTCCTCCGGTACCCTGGTCTCCCTTCTCAAGGTCTTAGCTTCTTCCTGTCCCCAAACCTCTTCTCCAAGATATGTGTATTGCTCACTCCCTTGTTTCATTCAAATCTCATCGCCAATATCACCTTCCCAGAGAAGCATTCTTGACCACCTAGTCTAAAATAACAATTCTTACCACCTTTCCTTGCTTTAGTTTTCTTCATAACACATTCTTTTTTACATTTGTTATGTGTCTTCTTTCATTAAAATATCAGTTCTGGGCTGGGGCCTTGGGCAAAGCGGCAGAGCATCTACCTAGCAAGCATGAGTCTGAGTTCAAACTCCAGTACCACCAAAAAACAATAAACAAAACAAAAGCAGAAGTTCTAAGAGTGTTTCCATTTTGTCTACCACTGTTCTCTCAGAACATAAAACAGAGGCACAGAGAATGTTCTCAATACATATTTGTTGAGTGAATGAATGAATGTGTCAGAATGACCATTGTGTGAACATTTTACCTTTTGTTAAAAAAATGCTATATGGGTACTAGTTTTGTTCAGGAAAAGTAACTACTTCCAAGCCATATTACTTAGGGGTCATAGCAGACTCCCTTTGTAGCTGCAAATCCTGGCAAGACCTGAAAATTTGGCGTATGACTGGTATTTGGCTTAGGATGCCTTCAAGCTCTACTGGCCAGTGAGTAGAAATTGGCCCCATTGTTCCAGGCAAAACAGCCATGAAATCTGCTCAAGTAGACTTCCTTCAGGCGCCCTTTCACACAGGTTACAATAAATGGACATCGCACTCATCCTACTCATTCATCCTACTCACTGGTCCTACTCAGAAGTGAGCCACACACTTTTTGCCCTATGCATTTATTTTGCCGGGGGCATTCCTGGGAAGCTATGAGGTCAGAGCTTTGGAGGCCTGATATTTTTCTAGCATCCTTCTCCTAGAAGGCCCTCACTCACTGCCTATCTTCCTGCCAATAGGCTTTAAGATTCAGCATGAGCTGAAGGCTTTGGATATTTAGATTGCTATAACCCCACTTCTCCATGGGTAACTTCAATATTGGGAATTATTAAAGACCTCTTTCTTGTTCAGACAATTTCCCTAGAGGCTTGTTTCCCTTGGAAGTGGTGTGATAACATGGATTGCTCTGCCAGAGACTTGGAGAAGTGATTAAAGCTCTTTGCTTCACCCATTGATATGCTCTGTCGTTAGCTCTGGCTAAATGACATCTTTTCTACCACTCTCTCCTGTGCTGGTATCTTCTCACTGTGAGAACTGAGCTATCCAGACAGAGAAAGGGCTTATTGGTCCTTCTCCTGGGTTCTCAGTCCTCTCCTTCGTTAGTTTCCCCATAGTGTTTACTAATCTTTGATTGTGGCACAAATTTCTTTAGTCCTTGTGTTTTAGCATACTTGCTTGTGTATGCATCTATCTTCCAAGCTTGAGAGCAAGGGCTAAACCCCTAGCAGTATCTAGCTTGATGCCTGGTATGTAATAGTCACTCAGCAAATGTTGGGGGTTTTTGCCTAGCAACAGCTAAACAAAGACTTTTAAGACCCCTTTGATATGTCCTGACTTTCCTTCTGCCCCTCAATCTCAGGAGACTGGGACTGGTACTCAAAAAATCTTTGCAAAATGTGATGCTAAGTCATATCTAATTTCCATAACAATGACCCTGTTATTTCTCTTCTTTTTCTTTTTGTTGTTTGTGTATCAGGTCAATTAGTAGTATCTTCAGACTTCTGGAATCTTGATTGGTCATCTGCCTGTTCATGCCCTTTACTCATCTTCATCAACTCCAAAAGTGGCGATCATCAAGGGATTGTCTTCCTCCGAAAATTCAAGCAATACCTTAATCCGTCTCAAGTGTTTGACCTATCGAAGGGTGGCCCTGAAGCAGGGTAAGCATGGGGTAAGGGATGTGTATAATTGGGTATATAGAAGGGACTCCCCATCTATACATTCTAGAGTAGAATAAGTTCCTGGAATTAACCCCTGTACCTGGGCAGATGTACAGCCATGTAACTCCAGAGCATTTTGTGTTGGTTGGTTGGTTGGAGGGCTTTTAGCTCAGTCCCAGAAACTCTTTCAAGCTTATGTCCTACTCCCAAATTTGCTTCACTTTTTTCTGATTGGAAGAGGTAAAACTAAGCCTCCTGACCTCAGAGGAAGAATCAAGTGGATACTGCTGTCCAACTTTTCTGCCATTTATTCTTTCTTCCCTGGGATCACACATACAGGCCTATTTTATTTTGGTTCCTATGAGCATGCTGGCCATTCTGCAAGGCCAGCAAATGGATTAAACCAGGTTACTAATGGCTTCCAGAGCAAGACTGGGCCCAAAATAATGTGAGTTGAGGCAAAGCCTGATCTCTGAGATTACCTGCGTGAAACTGCCTGTGATTAGGTACACATAGAGATAAAGGCTAAGGGAAAAGAGTCAGGTAATCTGTTATCAGGGTCTTAAGGTAGCAGGGCTTGGGTCCTTATACATTTTAAGAAAGAGTTATAAAAAATCTGACTATTCATAAAATGACCATTTCCCCTTCTTCCTTTCAGGTTGTGCATGTTCAAGAATTTTGCTCGTTTTCGTGTTCTGGTTTGTGGTGGAGATGGCAGTGTGAGCTGGGTCTTATCTCTGATTGATGTCTTTGGATTACATGAAAGGGTAAGTCCCTGGTTGACTTGTTCAGTCATCTTAGAGAGAGTTGGGGTGTGGAGCTGCCCATTCGAAGAAGTCCCAAGTCTTCATTCTCCCTGACTATAAAGTATGTTTTCCATAGGATCTAACCACTTTCTGGTTGTTGGTCTGTGTGAAAAAGAAATGAAGGAGTGGGCAGAAAGAATAAGCAGTGCTCATTCTCTAGGCTTCAAAGTGAAGAGCTGAAGGGGAAGAGAGCAAGTAGAAAGGAAGAGGCCATAGGTAGCATTCAGCCCCCAATTTCTTTACCCTCCTGAGGCCACTGACTTAAGTCTCAAGAGTGGCGAAACTTTCTTTTACTTCTCCCCCAAACCCTAGGCAGCCCCCTGCTCTTATGATTCCAGCAGCTTTGTCTCCTGAGGCACCCTGACTATTGGATCCAGCCAAAATAGAAAATTGTGGTTATATTTTGCCTTTATAACCATAGTCATGACTTTTCACATATTCCAGCAACTTTCCATTTTACTAAGTATGTTCTGAATTACTAATAGTGGGGGCCAACTCATTAGAGACAATTTAAATCAAATTCAAATATCCTCCAATTATACTTCCTAGAATCTGAAGTCCCTTAAAACCACTGGCTTTAAGACCATAGTTCTTCCCAAAGAGCACCCTTTGGGTCCTTTAATGGGTGAAACTTGGTAGAAAGGCTGCCTGAAAAGGGTGTCTCCTTTTGTTCTTTCAGTGTCAGCTGGCAGTCATCCCACTTGGAACTGGCAATGATCTGGCCCGTGTCCTGGGATGGGGTGCATTTTGGAACAAAAACAAGTCGCCACTTGACATCCTCAACAGAGTGGAGCAGGCTAGTGTGAGGATTCTTGACAGGTTAGTGGCCACAAGACACTTGTGCTTCTTCTAGTCCCATACCAGTTACTCCCAGTTTTATCATCTCAATCAGGAATGCTCTGAACTCTCTCATAGAGCCCCATTTACTTTCTGGCTTCAGTGCAGGGAAGTTTGGGATGCCTTGTCTTCGGAAGCCAAGTCTACAATGGATCTGTCAAATTTCATTGAAGCCCTTTTACAAACCTAAAAGATCCAAACCTAAAAGAGAAGGGGTCTCATGGGTTCTGTGAACCTCCTTCAAATTGCATAGCCATCCATGGGAAGCATACTTTTTCTTACGAAAGAGTCTATAGTTTTATCAGGTTCTCAAAGAAACTTTAAAAGGGAGGAAGTTCACCAACAACTGGTTTAAATTGTCTCTTCTCTAAAGAAGAGAATGTATTGCCATCCTATCTCCTAAGAAATAAGACTTATTATGCTGGAGGCACATTTGAATATTTGGTTGTGATTGCCCACAAGGATTTCCTAGGGTGCTTTTTCAAGATACCAAACTGGGCCCACCACAAAGATTTAGTAGGTGTTGAGCAGAGCTCTGGTATGTGTATTTTACAAAAGCACCTCCAGTGATCTTGATGCTACCTCTGGTTGAGATGCACTGTACTCTGAGAATCCTGGGAAAAATTCCTTCCATTATACTTGCCTAGATAAGTCATGAAGTAGAGTTCCCTCTTGTGGTATACCTTGAGATCAGGTGACCAGAGATTTCTTGAGTACCCCCTGCAACCAACCTCCCCCTACCACATAAGCAGTTTGACCTCTTTCTTGACCTGTGAAACATTGATTCCAATGTGTAATGAAGCAGAACCCTAAATATCCGTCTTTTAATTTCATTTCAGATGGAGTGTGATGATCCGTGAGACTCCCAGACAAATCCCACTGCTGAAAGGACAAGTTGAAATGGACATAACAAGATTTGAGGTAACTATTGCCCATCTGAAATTCAGGCCAACATCTTCATCACAAGTAAATAATGGGCAAAGCCCAGAGAGAAGCTTTTGTATTTCCATGGACTTGATGAGAACATTGAGAATTGGAGACATGTCAGTCAGCAGCTATTTACTAAGAATGTGTTAGGCAATAGGGACAGGATTCATTTAGCTATTTACTTATTCATACACTCAAAATATTTATGGGGTAACTACTATATGTGAGATACTGTTTTAGAAGATGTTCTTATGCTAGTGAATAAAGAAGAATGACATAGTCTCTGCTGCCACGGAGCTCACAGTCTACTTGAAGAGATAGAAAAATAAAGTTTTAATAAAGTAGTATGAGATAGTATATAAGGAAGTAGAAGAACACACAGCAGGTGACATATATATACATATATGTATAAATACACACACACGTGTATGTGTGTGTTTGAGAGAGAGAGAGAGTGAATGAATATGAATCTGGAAAGGGCAAGGAAAGGCTTCACAGGGTAAGTGCCATTTAAGAAGAGACCCAGCTGGGCACTAGTGGCTCAAACCTGCAATCCTAGCTACTTGGGAGGCTGAGATTGGGAAGATCATGGTTCAAGGCCAGCCTGGGCAAAAAAGTTCGTAAGACCCCCCCTTTTCAATATTAAAAAAAAACAGGGCATGGTGGTATGTACCTGTCATACCAGCAGGAAGAGTAAAATAGGAGTATCATGGTCCAGGCCAGTTTAGGCAAAAAGTGAGACCCTATCTCCAAGACAACTAGAACAAAGAGGGCTAGAAGCATGGCTCAGAAGAGGTCTGCTCTAGGAACAAACATGTATTGTCCCAAAGACAAGAAAGGGTATGGAATAGTCAGTTATATATTCATAATGGCTGGGCGTAGAATTCGGGGATGGAGCATGCAGGGAGGGGGACTAAATGATGAGACTAGAAAAGTAATCAGGGCCCAGGTCAGGAAGGGTTGATAAACCATGGTAGTAAGTTAGGACTTTTATCCTAACAGCAATGAGAATTCTAGAAGGGGTTTTCCCCCCTTATTTATTATAAAATTTCCCAACATACAAGGAAGTTGAAATGGTAAATTCTATCATGAACATTTCACTATACTTGCTTTAGCACATATCCAGCTATCTATCCATTCTGCTATGTAACAGAAGGGTTTTAAGCAAAGAAATTCCATGGAGTGTGGAAAGACAATTGAAGGACTAAAGACTAGAGGAAGGGAGAAAAGCTAGGAAATTCTGAAATTGTCTAGGCAAGAAATGATGGTGATTTGAACTGGGGAAGTACTAACAGGGATGAGGAGAACTGGACATATTTGAGACATATTGAAAAAGTAGAATTATCAGGACTTGGTAGATATTTGAATGTAGGAGGTGACAGCAGGGAGTAGAAGTTGTAATTAGGAGTATAGACTCAAAAGCCAGACTACCTAGAATCCAGTTGAAGCTCTGCTACAATTGATTCCTTCTCTGTGCCACAGTTTTTTCCTGTGTGAAATGGGGATAATAATCTTTATCTGTTAGGGTAGTTATTGCAGTTACATGAAAATGATATATACATATAGCTTGGGACACAGCCTGGCATATAGTACTATTTATATCATATATATATATATATATATATATATATATATATATATATACACGCATATATATATGGATATATATATGCGTATATATATATATATATCCATTTATAAGGATAGTTATTATTAGTAATATTTTAAAGAGGTGACATGCTGGTATTGGAAAGATATGGATTCAAATCCCAGTTCTATTATTTGCTCACTATGTAATATGTAACATGGAACAAACAGTACTCACTTCACATGAGTTTTTTTATTATTAATTTAAATAATAAATAGACTATACCTCTTATTTCTAAAATGACTACAGATTCACTATTATCTCTGAGGACCTTCAACAAGAATGAGGCAGTTGAGGTGCTGATAAAGAATCAGGAGGAAATAATGAGGCTGTGAGGAATAAGAATGCGCAGCACACTAGGTCATGGTGCTAAGACTCTAAGGCTGAGTGCTCACTGTTTCCCTCCCCCTCCCCAGGCTGCTGCCATACAACACTTAGAATCTGCAACTACTGAGCTGAACAAAATCCTGAAGGCCAAGTGTACCATGGAGATGATCATCGCCACCAGGTTAGTTTTCCTTTGCTTCTCATCCTTTGAAGTATTTTTGCCTCTTGTGGGCTGTTCCCAGGACAGATATGGATGGGCTCGTTTTGATAGTCTGGGGTGTTAAGTCAAAGGAAAGTATGTGTTTATATTTCCAAGTCAGATTACTCCCAACTCAAACTGCCTGAATGGAAAGTTCAGGAAAGAAAAATGAGATTGAAGTGAGGCCTCCTGCTTCTTCAGAGACAAAATCACAAGCAAGGTATTTGGAAGCAAGGTTAAAAAAGGGAAACACAACATTCTGGACCAATAGTACAGATACCTTGCTTTCCATCTTTGACACTGGGGAAGGTCTCTGTAATGCCTACCTGCAGCTGATCTCTCATAACCTGAGCAACACATTCCCATTTCTACCTATGTGGATCATTCATCCTTCCCAGATCTTCTTGGGGTTCCTGCTCAATCTATTACATTCTCATCTGAGAAACACTTCCCACAAAAGAGACCTCTGGACATCATTATGTTTATATTTTATTAGCTCACCCCTTGAACCAGAGCTGACTGACCCAGGGTAAAAACTGACCTAAGTTTAACCAAGTAAATTCTCTTCTTTTGAAATTCAGAATTAGGACCAAGAAATGCTAATCAACCTGTCTTACATATTTCACTTGGGAAGTGGTACAAAACTGACTAGAATGGGAATGGAGCATATTTCACCATATGTATGGAAAAAAGAACAAAGAGGGAAGGGAGGCAAGTTGGAGAGAGAAGGACAGGGAGGAAGGAAAGAGAAATCAGGAAAGACAGACAGAGAGGAAGAGGAGAAAGAGACTAATGGTGTTATAAGAGAGAAGGGTTCTGGACCTAATGGTCCATGTCCCATCATGTCATCTATCTCATCTTTCCAGATTCCTGTGCTCAGCAGTGGAAGATTTTGTCATTGATATTGTTAAGGCCTGGCATCAGATAAAACAGAACAACACAGCAGTAGAGTCTATAATTTTGAAAGTAAGTTTCCTTTCCATTTGTGACTATTTATACATATGTGCCTCTTACTGGGAATTGTCAAAGAAAGGCAAAAATGGGGAAGGTCCAACCTCATTATCTTCCATCTTTAACAAATGAAGAATGGTACATGCATATACATGTGTCATGCACCTAGGCATGCATCTGCCCACAACTAAATACAAATGGACACCAAGCATGTATGTACATGGGTGTATAGCAGAGCATGCTTGAGAATATGCACATACAAGTACGCCCTAGAGATATGCCCACATTCACCTCTATAAAAATAGTTAACACTTATATAGCACATATTCTGTGCCAGAGACTGTTCTAAGTACTTTTAATATATTAATTTATTTAATCCTCACAGCTTCTCTAGAATATGGACAAAGAAGTTAAGTAACTTGCCTTGCATCACAAACTATTAAGTGATGGAGCTAGGAATAAAAGCCATAAATTACACAGCAGATATACATCCTTAAGCATATACACATACAAAGGTGGACACCAACACCATGCAGAGGCACATCCACATTCACAGAAGCATGCCCATGAACATGCCAATCCAAAAATGTCTCTCTTTACTCAAGCTTGCCACATTACATGTGCCTGACACGAGAAAGACATGAAAGCATACAGTGATGCCAGAGGCTGCTCAGGAACACCATTTGGGTATCATCACACCTACCCATGTACTTCTTTCCCCATGTACTTCATTACCTCACACACAGCTTTCAGTGCTCAGCATTTCTGACCACCTATTACCCTTTGCCATCCCTCCCCATCCATCCCTTATCCTCATTCTGTCCTCTCAAGCACTGGTCCTTCACAACAATGTCCATCCTCTTACTTCCTTTATAGAGTGACTTAATGTATGATAAGCTCAGTGTTCTGATTGATGTCCTGGTGGAGGAGGCAGCAGCTACCTCTGCTGAGAAAAGTGCTACAGCATATGCAGACAGTGACAAAGCAGAAGGAAAGCCATTCGTCCCTCAAACAGACCACATAGCCAAGTGCAAGTTGGAGCTAGCCACAAGGGCTCAGAATCTCCAAAAATCCTTGAAACTCATCATATTCCAAGTTGAGCAAGGTAAGGGGAGCAGGGTTGGGGTAGAGGCAAGAAAAGGTTCCAGTGGATGGTTTATTGATCTCCCTTACTTTGGGTTTGTTATCTGACCTCACTACCAAATCTTGACTAGATTCCATACCCATGTTGCATTTGAAGTCAGTCCTCAAACTGCTGATGTGAAAAAGCTTCAGTCCTGATAAGCTGTTCCTTTGATTCTTCCTACCTCCCAAGCCCTCAATTATTGCTACTTACTTATTTTTGGAACACATTCTAAACAATTACAAGGCTAAGTGGCCTGGTTCAAAGCTCCCTCAGCTTTCACCCCTAGTGATATAATCTTTTTCCTTCCTCCTCCTCTTCCTTTTCTCTCTCTTCTCCTACCTTTCCATCCTCTCTTTCTCCTCCCTGCAATTCTACTATGGCCTCTTGCATAGCTGGGACAACAGGTGTGTATAACCATGCCCAGCTTATTGAAATGGGTTCTCATTAATTTTTGCTAGACTGGCCTCAAACCAGGATCCTCCCAAATAGGTGGGATTACAGGCATGCACCACCACATCTAGCCTGCTCCTATTTCTTTCTAGCCACCAAGTCTAGTCATTAGCCTGTGACTATTTTAGAAAGAAAATGGTGCTCATCTCTGCATACCTGACACAGTATTAGTCAGGCATAAGGGTCCCAAGAGAGGTCCCGGTGGTTCTGACATTGGTTGTCATTTCCCAGAACTCCTGACAATCTCCAAGATCAGTATAAGAACTTGTTCAAGTCCTCCAACTTCCTGATATAACATTTTGGTGACCACTTCTTCCCTACAATGCTTCTTTGAAAAAGCAGATCAAGACAATGGTGTAAGATCAAGTATGTTCTAACTAAGCTATTGAAATTGAGCAGAACTCCCATGCAACAAGAAATTCTCTTTGGCTGGCCTTTAACTTTTAGCTATCATACCTTCCTCTGCCTTGGTACCTTTAGGTACAGTCTCAGCCATGTTTCCAAGAAAGAAAGGAAACCTCCCCTCTTCACTGTGGAAGAATTAGTCAGTTTGCCTCTGTTTTTATAGTTAGTTTCCAAGAATTTAAAGTCAGCTTGCCTCTATTTCTGTAGTGGGAAGACATTAATCTGATATAGCCATAACTCTGTCAGAACTGACCCTCAGTCTGTTCCATCAACACACATTGTTAGAGTTAGAGCTTGTGACTACATAACATATAGACTGCTGAAAGGAAGGAGACAGCACAAAAGTGCTGGGTCAAACAGTGGCATGGTCCTAGAGGCTCAGGTCTGGACTAAGGTCACTTGAGTAAATTAACTAACAGAATGGAGGTAGAAGAGCACAGTGTTTGCTGCTCTGCTATCCCCATTCAAGCTCTGAGCTTCTACTTGCAGCCATGTATGCTGAGCAGTTGACAGAAAAAGAGTAACTAGGGAAACAGTAAGTTCAGGCATAGAAAAGATGGCGATGACACTGCAGGGAAGCTGGTAGTATAAGAAGCATCATGTTGTGATAAAAGCGAGAACACACAAGGGAGGGGTGAGGATAGGTAAGACACCTAAAAAACTAGCTAGCATTTGTTGCCCTTAACGCAGAGAAACTAAAGCAGATACCTTAAAAGCAACTGAGGCCAATAGGAAAAGGGGAACAGGTACTAGAGAAAAGGTGAGATCAAAAAGAATTAACCTAGAAGGTAACACACACGCACAGGAAATCAATGTGAGTCAATGCCCTGTATAGCTATCCTTATCTCAACCAGCAAAAACCCTTGTTCCTTCCTATTATTGCTTATACTCTCTCTACAACAAAATTAGAAATAAGGGCAAAATAGTTTCTGCTGGGTATTGGGGGGGGAGAGGGAGGGGGCAGAGTGGGTGGTAAGGGAGGGGATGGGGGCAGGGGGGAGAAATGAACCAAGCCTTGTATGCGCATATGAATAATAAAAGAAAAAGGGGGAAAAAAAAAGAAGCATCATGTTGGAAGGGTGATGGTCAGAATGGGAATCTCATCTACCCACACAGTGACTGGCATTAACTAAACAAAACAGATGTTCAGTAAATGTTCAATGAATGTGACTAATCCTGCCTCTGTCTCTTCTTTCTTTCTTTCTTCTATCCCTCCTATCTCACCTCCCTTCCTTTCTTTCTTCCTTCTACTTTTTTCTCTTTAGTTCTGGATGAGGAAAGCAGACAGACAATATCAGTTAAGAACTTTACATCAACTTTCTTCCTGGGAGATGATGACTCAGAAGATATTAACCAGATGAGCCCAAGACATCGTAAGGATCTTTCTAATATTCTAGACTTCATCACTGTATCTAGTTTCCAAAGAATAAATATGTGTTTTTCATGCATCTCGCTTTAGCCATAACTCTTCTCTGCAGTAGAAATCTCACACTATAAGATGTCCAGAAAAATGAATCCATTAGGCACTTTGAAAAGGATGGCCTGATGAAACCCAAGATTTGAAGCTGTTTTCCCTACCAACAACCAGGCAGCCTAGTCTTGCTATTCTCTCAGTGAAAGTCCCTAACCATCTATGAGGATCCCTCATTGAAACGAGAACCCTGAATATTATTTAGGAGGAAGTCATTGAACTTGACCTTTCCTCAGGAGAGAAAAAAGGGTCAAGTACAAATGGGTTTAAGGCTTTCATGTTTGCATTAGACTCCAAAGTGATGTCTTTTGTATCTAGGTTCTCGTCATGACACTTTGTCTTCTATATCTTCTCTCAAAAGTGAGGACCTAGACAACCTTGACTTGGAATACTTACATTTTATACCTGAAACAATGTAAGTATTTTGCCTATTACCTTTTAATGGCTCCCTCCTCTCTCTGGTTTAGAGCATATGATATATTTGATACATTGTAAGAACCTTTATAAATGCCACAATGTACCCCCACCCAGCATAAAAGTAAAAAAAATTAAATATTAAAAAAAGAGCATAGCCTAAGGGCATCCAGAGTCAAACCCTGACTCTACTTAGTAGTTGTATGATCTACACAGTTACTTAACCAATGTGAGCCTCAGTTTCTCACATGTAATGAAGATAATTATAGAACTTGCTACATAGGTTTACTGTATGTGTTTATATATGTAAAGTACTTGCACTGAACAGTGCTTGCATACACAGTTAAATGTTATATGTATTATCAATTACCATCATTGTTATAAACACTTACTGTTAGTTATTATTTCTAAGAACTTATTTTTCTACTGTTGTCCTTAACTGTAAATGGTTGAAGATACTAAAAAAACAAATGATTATTATTTAAGGGACTAGGTAGCAAATCTAAGGACATCTATCTCACCAGTCCTACTTCTTTAAAATATTCCCAGCAGCCAAGTTCCACCACACTCACTCATTTTGAGTTCTGTTAAAATCAGTTTAGACATTAGTTAGAAAAAGTCCAATTTCTGTACTATGTTCAAGGAAGGCAAATATCATGTGTAAGATGTAGGGTTAGTTCAGTAATTAATTAAAAAGTTATCTATCATTAAATAGCTAAATTGTACCTGTTTTCAGTTTTTTAAAAGAAGGACCCAAATAACAATTATTTATGTTTTCTTAAGTAATTTGTTTAAGTAATTAGTCTTACTCCTATCTCCAACCCTTACTCCTTTCCACTTCACCATTAGATTAAGTTCACATTTGAGGCCGCATAGATCCACCTAATGAGTTTTGATCAACAATGCAATGGCAAGTGTTTAACAACCAACTCTCTTGGGGGGTTCTGATTTATTCTGGCATAAACCCTCCCACCATAGCCTGTTTCTAGTTGCTGACATGTCATTGAATGCCAAGCTGGGAACAGATATGCATAATCAGTTTATATGAGCTGGTATGAACTGGCTGTAGCATACAACTAGTTTTGATAATTGACACTGTAGATGGATGCAGGCGACTCAAAAGACTGCTCAGATGTGTTGTTGTTGTTGTTCTTGTGTACGTCTGTCCCCTTCTATCAGCCTTTCCTTTGCCTTCTGATGTGAAAGTACTACAAATGAGTAAGACATCAATGACAGCAATGGTGCAGACTTCACTTTCAAAATACACTTGTACATGGGTTACTCAAAAGTTTGTCATGGGAATAATCCAATGACTTTATTTCCCTGTATTTTATTTGGAAAATATGGGCCACTCATATCTGAAGCCTCCAAAGATGACTAAGATCATAAATGTTGTTTCTTTGGTGGCACTGGGGTTTGAACTCAGGGCCTCATGCTTGCTAGGCAGGCACTCTACCACTTGAGCCACTCCACCAACCCCACAAATGTTACTTCTTTACTGTCCCAATTCCACTGAAGCTTCCCAATTGGGTGGGCACCCTCTCTTACAGATAACAAGTTAGTTGTTAACACCACAGGACATCTATATGTGTCTCTCACTAGCAGTATGGCTTGTACCCAATGTGGAAGAGGGCTTCTCTCAATGGTTTTTCATCATGCAGATGAAGTCTGCTACCCAACGGCAGCAGCAGTTCTTTCCTACATTAGTATCTGTCCTTTTCCTTGGCTAATTTCAGACGCTTCAAAGAAAAATGTGTCATGAACAACTACTTTGGAATTGGACTAGATGCTAAAATTTCCCTGGAGTTCAACATCAGAAGAGAAGAACACCCAGGACAATGCAAGTAAGAAAAAAAAAAAAAAACTTCCCTCTCTTCATGAAGATACACAATCGCAATACACATGTGTATTCTTACATTACCTACTCAGACAAGCAACAGAAAGAAAAAGGTCTTTTAGAAGTAAAGTGTATTGGTCCCAAAACTATCCTAATGGTACAGCTTGCCCCAGATGTTCGGCTGGTCTGTGATGACTGCACTGGCATCCTAAACTTGAAGTTCTCTTTCTGTGTTACTGTTACTGAGAACAAATACAACTGACCTGATGCGGCAAATTGCCTATCTTTGTTCTTTCTGTGATTGCTTAACTAAGTCGTAGTGGTGACTCCAGGTTTGTTTTTGCTTGGCAAGGCTACAGAGTTTCAAAGATCCCCCTACTTGGCAATTGTGTTCCTAACCTGATTCCTTTGGACCTATGAATTTTAACTTATCTAATATTAGCTCACTTGCACTTTCTGGTACTTTTGTACTACAGACATACCCGAAGGGTAGCCTCAGAGTTAAAAGTAAAAAGAAGCACACCACCCCCTAGACCATCCTTGTGCCTGCAACTAGAATCCCTTTCTCAAAATAGGCATGGGATGAGGAACAAGCACTCCAGCAGATATATGATTTACAAATAGTTTCATTCAGTCTGTTGCTTTTTTCTTATTTTCTCAGTGGTATCATTTTAAGTCTAAAAGTTTGGAATTTTGAGGAGGTCCAATTATTTTTTTTTCATTATGGACCATGCTGTAGTGCCAAATCTAAGAAATCTTTACCTGACCCAAGGTCTTAAATTTTTGCTCCTAAGAATTCTTCTAAAATTTTTATTGTTTTGGCTCTTACATTTAAGTATATGATGTACTTTAATTTTTGTATATACTGTGAGCTGATAGTCTAAATTTATCTTTTTGCATGAAGATATTCCAATTATCTCAGCACCACATTTTTAAATTGTGTTAGCACTTTTGTTGAAAACCAATTAACCAAAAATGTAAGGGTCTATTTCTGGACTCGTGTTCTATTGATCTAGGTGTCTATCCTATGTGAGTAAACACACTGTTTTGATAACTGCACCTTTATAGTAACTTTTGAAATTGGGAGAGAAAGTCCCTTTTTTCAGAATTATTTTGGTTTAGGCATTTTGCATTTCCATAAAATTAAGCCTCTGTTTTTGTAAATGAGAAAACTAAAGTGCCCAGAAAACTTTTGGTTTTAAACAGCATGAAATAATTTTGCGCTAGCCTTTTTACATTTTAAATTTTACTCCCGATAGTGACTCATTTCTGTGGCTCTATTTTAAAAGCTTGTAGTAAATGATATCCAGCCTTTCTAGCGATTCTAAGCTCCCTTTCTGTTTTATCAGAAATCCTACAGTTAGCAAGATCCTGCTTGTTCTAACTCCACTTCAAGGTTCCTGATATTTTTCCTGTGTTATATTTTCTCCACTGGCTCCTATTCTAAAGTCTCCTTACCAAGCTGAATTCTGATCTATGGCACTGAATTAAGTATTTAATATATGGGTCTATTATTTGGAAAAGCCTATCACCTTGCCAAAAAGTCTTTGCTTCAAAAAATGTAGTTGAAGACTCAGCTGCAAATGAAATTAATTCTAAGCAGCTGAAATCTTGTGCTCCTGGAATGGTACTACCAGGGTAGCTGGTGTGTGTCAGCTAGTTATGCTCACAGCTTTTTATAAGCATTGCTTTCTAAATATAGCCTTTTTCTTCCAAGACCAATATTAGCAGCAAGGAAAAGTGGAAGATTTACCTATCAATAGGATGCTGTGGCTTTAAAGGAGTCCATGAACCATTTCTGCAAGTGTTTGCATGAAGATACCAGTTATACTATCCAAGCAGACCTTGTTTTCAGTTACCATTTAACATAACTCCTCTCTGTAAGAAGGAACCTGAGACGAGATGGTTTCCCTTCCTGTCTTTCCACACTCTCTTATCTTTCTCTACCCTTATTTCCCTGTAGTAGCCGCTTTAAGAACAAGATATGGTATGGCCTTCTGGGAAGCAAGGAACTTTTGCAGCGCTCTTACAGGAAACTGGAAGAACGAGTGCACCTGGAGGTTAGTGGAAATGGGAATGGTCCTTCCTGGGCACAGAGAAAGGAAATCTTTGGTTCTTCCTTTGGACTCTGTGATTCTCACTCACAGCTCATGAGAGGAAGGCATTAGGCATTAGGATAGATTTCCATTTTTTTAATAAGAAAATGATAGTATGAAGACAGAACCCTTCCCCATCTCTAAAAATGTCCCTTCACATTGATAACTGATAAGCCAGACAATGAGAGCTACTCTCTTCTTTCAGTGTGATGGAGAAGCCATCTCCCTGCCAAACCTGCAAGGCATTGTAGTGCTCAATATTACTAGCTATGCCGGAGGTGTCAACTTCTGGGGAGGCAACACAGCAACCACAGTGAGTATGGAAAGGAACAGGGTGGAGAAAGTCATGGCTCTGCTAAGGTCTCTCAGATAGAGGAGTTGGGATGACTGGAGTGGGAAGTGAACAACGTGAAAAGAGGAAATAGACTGGGAATCTTTATTAGCAGCAGCTGTAGGATCAGTTTTTCGACAGTTACCATCCCAGAGCATAAGAAACAACCAAAGATCTTAGGATTAGGTCAACCCTTCAGTGATGCCTGGGGTTTGAATTTCTCACTCCTCAGCCATGACAGATCCTCAAAAGGTTACCCAAGCCATGTTCTTTTTCCCAAGGAAATCTGTCGATCAAAGGTCCTAGGAAACCAATCACAAACCCTTTCCCCAGAGCTCACCCAATAAGGCCATAAGGCCAATAAGTCTGGCCTTGGGAATGAATAGTGCTGGATTGGACAGGGAAGACACAAGATATGAGTTATCACCTCAAAAGGAACCACTCTTTTTTCCAGATTGGCTTCCTCACCTCATCTTTCCCTCCCTTCTAATGCAGTTTGCCCACTCTTCATGAAGTAGAAAAATGTCACCAGGAGTCTTCAAGGCACATGTGCTGGTTATAGACAAAGCATGGTTTCTCAAGGGTGGGAGATGTGACACAGTTCTTCTTCCTTAGGAATATGAGGCTCCTGCAATAGATGATAAGAAGCTGGAGGTAGTGGCAATCTTTAGTTCTATGCAGATGGCCATGTCCCGTATCATCAACCTGCATCATCATCGCATTGCCCAGGTAAGTAGGGATTGGGTGGGCACCAGGAAAGGGCTGAATTTTCTGGCTGCAACCTAGGTTACCTGGGTATAAGAGTTCCAGGGTGGAGGGAGTAGGTTATCTGGTGTGCAGCAAGGTGCTGGCTGAGGTTAGACACAGAGGTGGCAGGGACCAAAGGAGGAAAAACATCATAGGAAATAGGTGTTTCTACTTGGGATAATCTGATTCATATCTTTTCCATTGCTACTTCAGATACACATTCGGGTTGTAACTGTAAGATTATCAGACTGATCTACAGTGGTTGCCTCATTTTCCCCTATTCCCTCTCCTCTTCTCTGTCAGTGCCGTGAGGTGGTGATAACCATTGATGGTGAAGAAGGTATCCCTGTGCAGGTGGATGGGGAGGCCTGGGTTCAGAAGCCAGGCCTTATCAAAATTAGATACAAAAATGCTGCCCACATGCTGATGAGAGATCGGGTAAGATGTTCCTACACTGCCTCATTCATGGCTATCACATGAGTAGTGAACATTTCCAGTCAAGCAGAATTCCACAAAGGGAAGTCTGCATGCCCCTTGCATCAGACTCATGCTGGTTATAAATGTATACTCCTAGATCCCAAATAGACCCACTGGACAGAATGGAGAGGGGTGGTTCTCAGAAGCTTGCATTTATTTAAAAAAAAAAAAGGTCCTTGAGACATTCTGATATACACTGACATTTGCAAACCACTGTCCAAAAGAATGAGACAAGGGGCTCCCTCCTATGGTTTAGGACAAGGTTATCCTCCACTCTCCACTGCACAGAGAGCTAAGGGCCTCTGGTGGTAATGAACAAATATGTTCGTTTAATAACAGATTCTACACTGAATATGGTCTAAGGTTCCTTAAAATATTGCATTCACAAATGTTACTCACTTCAGCTAACTCTTCTAAAGCTACAAAAGAGTCATTATTGATTAGCTGTTCAGTGCTTAGAGGCTGGCTATCTTCCACTCTAACCTGTGAACAGTCCATAGAAACATCAACAGAGAGGGAAGGGGTTGTTCAGTTTATAAACTGCCTACTTTATGCTAGGCACTTTACATGCATTGCTCACATAGGTACTCCCAACAATCCTATGAAGCAGATACACTTATTTCCATATTAAGAGGTTAAATAGCTTGCTAAAGGTCATGCAACTAGAAAATGACAGAAGCATTATTCAAATTAAATTAGACATGTCTGCTTCTAAACTCTATCACAATATATTGCCTGTATTTGACAAAGAAGGGAGTAAGAAAGGTGTTCTACTCTATCAGTCATCAGATAGAGAGACACATTAGTCCTCATATCCAAGCCTCTGGAAAGCAGACATCTGTCTGATTCAAGACTGGTATCCCACATCCCAGTGTATTAACAACAACAAAAACTAAAAGTGCCTAGTACAGAAGAGACATTGATAAAAGGATTGGTAGATGTATATGTGGGTATACAGGGGAATAAGTAGGGGTCCCTTGTTCACTTTAACCCACTATTCCTATACATTACCCACAAATGTCAGACTCAGATCTGTCACATACCATCTTAGCTATAACAATCATTAGGATCTGCCACTGTATTCATCTCCAGGACTTTGAGAACTCAATGAAAATGTGGGAATGCAAGCATACTGAAATTCAAGCTACTCCCCAACCCCAGCTGGACTCCCAGGAATCTCAAGACAGCCTCTCTGATGAGGAGTATGCCCAGATGCAGCATTTAGTCCAACTTGCAGAAGACCTCATTAGCAGGTGAGTGGACTGGCCTAGATACAGGGCTGGGAAACCCAGGAAGGGACAGGAAGAGACAGCCAATTTATGTGTGTTGGTTGCTGGGGAGGCTGCCTTCAGAAAGGCATCTTACCTACAGCTGTGAAGATTGACTGGGGCCCTGACAATCCATGCAGGAAATACTCTTTCCACTCAGCAATTAGCCAGCTTGGACATTTCCCATTAGGTACAGATATGAATTGTGATCTCTTCTTACTACCCCAGACCCAGTAGGACTAAGGATGTCTATCCTTGCCCCTAAATAGCAGAAGGACCTTGGAGTTTCTGGAGGAGTCAGCTACCCTCATTTATTTTGGCTTCTCACCCTATTCAAGTTCCTAGTATATAAATTCAGGAGAAACAAGAACGGACAAATGTGAATACCTAGAGAAAAGTAGAAACATTTTCTGGCATTGGTAGCTACCTAGAGAAGATCATAAATAACAGGGAGTAAAGAGTTAGAATCCAGAACCCAGGACTTTTATTTTTACCTTTATCCCACCCTAACAGTATTCTACACCAGAAATCCAGATCTCCCAGTTCATCTATCTGTCCTTGCTTTATTACAGACTTAATGACCTGAGCAAGGTCCATCAGCATGTGTCTGTACTTATGGATTCTGTGAAGGCCAGTGCTAATATGCTAAAGGATATATTTTATGGCCAAGACAATGGCAATGAGGCAGCTGCAGTTTTCTGTACTCCCATTGAGGTAAGGAGGAAAGGATGGATGAAGGAAAGGAGTCAAACTATATAATAAAGGGGATGAAAAGGAAGGAAGCTGGGCCAGAAACTGGATGGAGAAACTAGACAAATGTTATGGCAGGAAACCATTGCATAGAGTGGATGGGAAGGCAGGCGTACCTTGACTTGTAACAAGGCCAAGGTGGTTACCATTAGGAAATCCCACAGAAGACTTCATCAGCCTGAGAGAAAGCCTTAAAGAGAGATGACCAATGAATGAACATAAACTTCATCTTGGGCCTTCTTCATCCCAGGTAGTTCTCCATATACCCTGACAAGGTGACACCTGCCATTGGAATCAGAGCTCCAAGGTGCTTTGGTTTCCCTCTTGAGGGAAAGGACCAGATCAGATATTTAACTATTAAATGTGCCATTCTATGGCTTTACCCACTATCAGAAGGTTTAAGTGATGCTTTGAAAAAGTAACTTTAGAGCTTGGCATATAGCTCAGTGGTAGATCACTTGCCTGGCATGCATGAAGCAAAAAATAAATAAATAAATAAATAAATAAATAAAAGACATAAATTTAGAGCTAGGAAAAATGCAATAGGGTCAGGATATGCTAAAATGTGGACTAAAGGTGGCCTTATCTTAGTTGGAGGAGGCCCAGAACCTAAGTCCTAGAGTTTCCACCTGCCATGGGAAGGGTAGTTTTAACCTAGGAACAAGAAGTTTCCTAAATTTAATCTCTGGTTTACATATTTCCTATTTTCCTACACCCACTGCACCAAGTTGTGCTGTACCACTTCATAGGACGCACAGATTCAGCGATACCAGTTGACAGCTAGCATCAGTTCTGATTGGTTGGTGCCCATACTATACTATTTGTGCTATATTTTGAATATTACTTTTTTACCCACAGTCACATTCTACTAGCCTATTCCTACCTTCCAATGGAGAAGCCAGCTGCATGCTTACTAACCAGTAACTCCTCTGTCTTTGTCCTTTCCCTTCCATTTCTTTCCTTTCTTCTCCTCTCAGACTCTAAGCAGAAATGATGCAGTAGATGTTACATTTAGTCTTAAAGGGCTCTACGATGACACCAAAGCTTTCCTGGATGAAAACTTGGTGAGTGCAGAGGGTTGGAGCATGGGAGGGCAAAGCATCCCATCTGAAGATGGTCACAATCTGTTTTGGTTCCAGGTTACTGGAGATAGGGAATCATTTTGAACAGGTGCTTGCCTGAAAGTTCCTGCTGTGTCACCCAGGATTGTCATTGATTTTATTACTTTATAGATTATGCTAATTCATAAGTACTACCATATTCTTTGAAAGAAAGTCTCTCCCATTAGCAAGTATCTCCTGGGTCCAGACCAGGCCAATCAAAAGTAGGGTGTTTTTATCATACCCAGTGCAGCTATAATAGACAAGAGTGAGTTCTTCTGAGCTGCTCTATAGATTTCAAGTTTCTACATGCCTCTTTCTCCATGTAGGAAGGCAATATGAAATCAGGGGAGGTTTGGAAGTCTCTGGGTTCAAATCCCAAATCCGCCACTTACTACCTGTATTGGATTCTTAAGGCTGCCATAACTAAGTATGAAGAACTGAATGACTTAAAACAAATAAACTTGTCTCACAGTTCTGGAAGCAGGGTAAAAATTCAAGATTTGATCAGGGCTGTACTCCCACTGAAACCTGTAGAGGAATCATTCCTTCCTTGTCTTTTCCTAGCTGCTGGTGGTTTGCTATAAGTCTGGCATTCCTTGGCTTGTAGATGTATTACTCCAATCTGTCTTTAGCATTCTTCCTGTGTGTCTCTATCTTCATAAGGCCATCTTCTTCTAAGGACACCAATCATATTGGATTGGGGCCTGTCCTGTCCATTATGACCTCAACAATTAATTACACCTGCAATAACCCTAATTCCAAATAAAGTCACATTCTGAGGTATTAGGAATTAGGGCTGCAACATAGCTTTTCTTGGTGGGGGGGGTGCAAGTTCAATCTACAACACTAGCTGTGTGAATTAACTTCATCTCTCTGGATCTTAGTTTACGTGTCTACAAGATAGAAATTGCAATCCTTACCATTCTAGGTTGTTGCGAGTATTTAATAAGCTATTTTATCTTAAGTGCCTGGCAGTGCCTAGTGGCTCAAAAGATGGTATTTTATTAGTGAGGGAGAATGGACTAAGGCTCTGTTTTAGGGGGGGTTATAATACTAGTTGCATGTTTCTCAGAATGCAAAGCTCATGGGCACACTTGGTGAGCGTGCCCTGATGAGTTAACTGATCATGACCACCCCACTTTAAGACTGGCTGCCAGGAGGCAGATGCTGTGCTTACCTCTCTTCTAATTAAGGTTTATTTGAAGAAGGGATTCTGAGCTGAAATTCTAAGAAATATATCCACTTTCATTTGCATATGTAATTGGCACACTCCATAAAAGGCAGAGTGGCTAAGGCAATCAGGCCAGGCTATCCCAGAACCTGAGCCCCAAACTAGGATCTTTTAGCTTTAGACAACAGCAATAGGACTGCCTGTATATATAGGAAGAACTCAATGTCCTTGCCAGTTTAAGCAGCAGGAAATATGGGAGGTTGGCTTCTCATTGCTACTTAGGCTTTCTTGAAGCTTGTGGCTTGAAAATTGGCCCATGCTAGCCAACAACCTAACTTGCGCATACCATACCATGGGGTGGGCACTTCAGAAGGCTTCCACCCCACAGGACCTGGAGAGGACCCACACACACATACACATATTCAAACAAGGCTAGAAGATAATAAGCAACTAGGAATGACTATGTGTCTATAGAAGGACTGTCATAGAGATGAGGTGAAGATAAAGCTTGTTTCTTCTGGCCATTATTCCTCTCCTTGAAGAAAAAGGACAGTAAGGAGGTCAATGTTAGAAAGAAGATTGTGTTAGCTTTCCATTACTATAACAAACACTTAAGATAATCACCTTATAAAGAGAAAGGTTTATTTTGGCACATAATTTTAGAGGATTCAGTCCACAATTGGTTGGTCCCATTACTTTCAGCCTATGGAATGGCAGCACATCATGGTAGGGAGCATGTGGTACACCAAAGCTGCTCAACTCATGACCAGGTATGAAAAGAAAGGAAGAGAAGGAGCTGGGTCCCATTATTGGCATGGCCCCAATCACCAGAAGACCCCTCTCTAAAGCCCACCTCTTCAAGGTTCCACCACCTCCAAATAGCACCAAGCCTGGGACTAAACCTTTAACACATGGGCCTATGGGTGACATGCTAGATTCAAATTATAGCAGGGGTTTAGATTTTTAATGAAGTGAACCCTACCCAATTATTCCCAATTCCTTTATTTGGCATACACTTGGCCCATGCATCTGGACCACTCCGTATTGTTGCAAGTCATTAGTTGTAAAGAACTTATTTGTAAGCACTGCCTTGTTACTCCATATCCCTCCCAACCATCTCCTGCCCATTCACTTGTCATCCATTTCTGACAGGTGGCAAGCCTCTACCTATGGCTGCCAAATCAAGTGACCCATGCATAGCAAAAAGCCACAGAAGTGCCAGATTGATAGTAGAGTGCATGGTGAGGAGGAGAGGTGAAGCCAGGTTAGGTGGGCTATAAGCCTGTTGGGGCTGAAAGCATCAGTATGCTTGTATGTCTCCAGCTCATTACCTACTGGAACATGAACAATCCCACCTGTATTGCTGGTCTGGAATTTGGTTCTTCTGAGTTGGAGATGGTCTCAAAAGAATCTATTTTAAGTCTCCCAGGCACTATACAGAGTTTATGTCATAGGTTCTGGGGGTTGCTAAGTAGCACTTAAGTATGGTTTCCAAAAACCTGTGGGACAAACTTCCATAGTTTTTTTTTAATTACTAAAAGCAAAGGCTAGGGGGCTACAACACAGCCTGGGGAGGCAGACTCTCTTCCAGAAAGGGGAAATTTAAGGTAGTTTCTCTCTAGCCCTCTCATTGCTTCACAAAATAGTTTTAAAATTACAGTAAGTATGTAAGACAGATTCTTTCAGCATCCGGTCACCCCAGATGGGTGGAACAGTGTTGTATAAAGGATAGGATCTTGATTCAAACACATATGGGTTCTGTCTAGCCATATGATCTTGAGCACTAAACTTTGTTGAGTCTGCTTTATCACCTATGAAATAAGAACAATAATACCTTATAAGGTATTAAAAGGTTGTTGGAAAGATAGAATGAAATTACATATGCATAGTACCTGACATACACTATGTGCTCAAACATTACTAGATGTTATTTACGGGTACTCTAGGATGGTTCCAGGAACTTGAGGTTAAGAGTAGGACTCTTGTCCTAGATCCTAAACTTAGGCAAACACTCAGTGCTAATTCATACTGGACACCAAACTGTGAGCATGCCCAGCCCCAAGGAGAGCCTCACCATCTGGTTGTTTCCTGGATCTCCTTGTTTATAAATGAGATAGAGCAGTCTAAAGCTAGAAAGAAAAGAGCTGACTATAGGCAAAGAAGTTTCAAGTTATCACTTGTAGTCTCTTGGCCACTAGCAGGGACTGGAAATAGCAAAGAGCAAGAGACTATGAAGACCGAGTGTTAGGCATTAGGCACTCACTGTTTTCCTGTCTGTACCAGTTGAGAAATGCTGAGGATGAGGCCACACTTCAAAATACCCTGGATGCCATGAATAAGGTGTTTGAAAACCTATCAGCAATTGCCTGGATGAATCCAATCCTTCCAGAGGTATGTAACCTGGGGAATGGGAAATAAAAGGGAAAAGAGAATTCTGCTTTGGTCCCTTACCTTCCAGTGTGGATCAGTACATGGTAACTGTTGCAGCAGAGGGAGTTCAGTAGCAGTTTTCAGCTTCAGCTTTAAAGGAGAATCCTCATCATAAGTGGACAGAAAACATGAAAAGTTAGGTGACAATCAAAAAATAACATAAAGGAGACTAACTCCTTTGGGTGTGCAGGTGATGATCAAGACAGAATAAGCAATAATCTTTTTTTCTGTATATTCTCCTGGCTGTAAATTTCCCCTCTCTGTTCAGTATCTGCTGTCAGGACTGAAGTTCATCTGGTACATAACAGCATAGTCATACCAGTTGTTTACAGCCAACAACTATTCTAAGTGGTTGGTGCTAGGCCATACCAGTAGTTAAATCATCCAAATACTACCTCTCCCTGCTGCTTCCTGCCCCTGACCTGGAAAGTTAATAGGCTTTCTCAGTTCCTCCTCCAGCAGATATACAGCTTAAGAGAAAATCAAACATGGTATCAGTGGCCACAGTATAGTTATAGGGATGCTGTCATTTTTTGACAACTCGGAGTGCTTTCCTAAGATTGAAAAAAAATCCCATTTCATTAGTCAAATGACCCAAAGATGGCCACATATCACTAGATAAATTATTCCCTTTATGGTCTGACAGAGTTTTTCTTAAAAATTTCCTACCATATGGGAATGTAAACTAGTACAACCACTCTGGAAAAAAATTTGGAGGCTACTTAAAAAGCTAAACATTGATCTACCATTTGATCCAGCAATACCACTCTTGGGAATATACCCAAAAGACTGTGACACAGGTTACTCCAGAGGCACCTGCACACCCATATTTATTGCGGCACTATTCACAATAGCTAAGTTATGGAAACAGCCAAGATGCCCCACCACTGACGAATGGATTAAGAAAATGTGGCATCTATACACAATGGAATTTTATGCAGCCATGAAGAAGAACGAAATGTTATCATTCGCTGGTAAATGGATGGAATTGGAGAACATCATTCTGAGTGAGGTTAGCCTGGCCCAAAAGACCAAAAATCGTATGTTCTCCCTCATATGTGGACATTAGATCAAGGGAAAACTCAACAATGGGATTGGACTTTGAGCACATGATAAAAGCGAGAGCACACAAGGGAGGGGTGAGGATAGGTAAGACACCTAAAAAATTAGCTAGCATTTGTTGCCCTTAACACAGAGAAACTAAAGCAGATACCTTAAAGCAACTGAGGCCAATAGGAAAAGGGGACCAGGAACTAGAGAAAAGGTGAGATCAAAAAGAATTAACCTAGAAGGTAACACACACGCACAGGAAATCAATGTGAGTCAATGCCCTGTATAGCTATCCTTATCTCAACCAGCAAAAACCCTCGTTCCTTCCTATTATTGCTTATACTCTCTCTACAACAAAATTAGAAATAAGGGCAAAATAGTTTCTGCTGGGTATTGAGGGGGAGGCGGGGAGAGGGAGGGGGCAGAGTGGGTGGTAAGGGAGGGGGTGGGTTCAGGGGGGAGAAATGACCCAAGCCTTGTATGCACATATGAATAATAAAAAAAAAATTTCCTACCATAGAACCATTTGTTTCAATCTGTTAGAATCCCACCCCCCATACATTCATTACACCTGTTTCTAGCTCCAAACACCAGTTATACATATGTTAGCAAGCTATATAAGTATGTTTGGACTGGTGGTAATGGTAGCAATCAGGCTACCATTCTGAAGAAAAAGCCATATACAAATTCAGATCTTAAAAGATATAACAGTTTCTTCATATGCCTTTGCTGAAGACCCAAGCACTTTACAAGGCCTTTTGTGCCTGATGCTCTTAATAAGCAGCCCTCTGGGGAGGGAAAACATCAGCAAGGGAAGTAAACACTCATATCACATTCCACTATTACCTGGTTTATCTATCTCTCATCAAGTTCTTGAGCCATGCAAATGGGCTGGGGATTTAGAAAAATGAGACAAACACAGTCCCTGCCTTGAGATCCCAATTTATGTATGAGTCTCCCTGGCCTGGGACATAATCTCCTTTCTGAGCCCCAGTATTCTCATATAAGTGAGGCTATAAAGAAGGTAAGTGGATGGAAAGAAATCCAGTAAGATGTTGCTTATTCACTTGACACCAAACTTGCTTAGGTGTTTTTGCTAAGGCACAGAAAAATCCCATCCACTTTGCTGGGAAAAAGCAGCATTGGGCTTTCCAAAACTTGGCTGAGGGTAAGGTCCTTCCCTTCCTTGAGGTTGCTTCAAAAAGATGAGGTTGCTTCAGAAAGGTAATTCTGAAGACTGGTGTACATAGCCAGGAGCACTTCCAGCAGAGCGAGGGTAAAGTGGAAGTCTGAGGAGGAAGACAGGTTTATACTTCTTCTAATGGATGGGATTGGAGGTCCAAATAATCCTAAGGGTAGATAATCCTAAAGTTTCTTAGAATGTGTTTGGATGGATTTTCTGGCAACAAAGTGAATCTCAGAATTATGTTTTACTGAGACACGTAGTAAAGCAAGAACACATTTTTAGGAGTGAGGCTCAATTAGGAGGTTAAGCTGGAAATACAGGGCCTGCATGATCTGTATGGCAGAGAACCCACATTCATAATTAAAGAAATTTGTTTAGAGAGCCCTCTGCATTCCACACAGGGAAGCATAGATAGGGTCTTCCCTATAGGAAGGCCAAAAGGTTAGCAGGGTTTATCAAGGAAGGGGTTTATGAGGAAGGATGCTTTTCTCCAATGCATGCAGAAGTGCCATATGAGGTAGTGGTAGCCCCAACAGTCTCGCTGCTCCAATCATTAGCCACATGACTTCAAATGAAATATTTAACCTCTCTGAGCTTCTGCTTCATTTGTGATATAGGGATGATAATGGCCACTTTGCTAAGTGTTTCAAGGCTTATATGGAGAATTTACTGAGGTATCTAGCAAGGCACTTGGCATTCAGTAAGATCTTGGTACTGATCAATTCCTTTCCTAAAGTATGTGACCAGTATCTCATATCTGAATACAGAACAAATCAACCTGCTTTGTGTAGTCATCCTTGTCCATCACCTTGCTGCGCTTATAGGAATTATTTTTGGATATTAGGTAACTAACATTTTGATGTTCTTCTTGCTTTGGTTTCCCAGGAAAAGGCTTCAGATACTGATAGTAAAAGCCTCAGGTTGAAAGTTAAACTCCCTAAATTGAGAAAGAAGAAGCTAGAAGAGGAAGTCAAGCCTAAATCAAGCCAAAGATTCCATGGTTTTTTTGGTAAGTCTCGTCCACAGGCACAGAGGTCATGAAGACTTCCCTAACCAGGGATGTAAAGCCCCTATTAGAAATGTTCATGGGCATGGTGGTGATGGAGAATCCAGGCGGGAGCCAATCTTAGTGTCAAGCAGTCTCTTGGATAAGGTGAAAAAAAGTGATATGGACACCAGAAGGGGGAGAACCTGAGAAGGATGTTGCTATGCAGCCTCTATGATATGTATAGTTGAAAAGAAAAATGCAATCAGGCAGTTATTTTTCTGCTTGACTCATTACTAAGGGTAAGAAACAGATTCCATTACCTATCTGAACACTTTCCCCTTATCTGTTATAGAAAGTCCCTAGAAATGTAAAATTTCTATTTATTTCATTGTTTTGAATTTTGGTTCTATCCATCTTTCTTCAGAATTGGTCCTAAGCATTTGTTGATATGTCATGGGGACTCAAAACAGGTTCTTCTAGTGTTGTTAGTTGTGCCATTTCTGATTTCGATGTTCTCCTAAATTTGGGGCCTATACAACCTGGAAGCTTGAGAGAGAGAGCAGCAGCAGACATGGGAAAACAGAGGACAGCAGTTTGTTTTGTTCTTAAGGAACTTTGATTTCCCACAGATGCCAACATCACATCTCTTGAACCAAGCTATATTTTCTTAGGTATGGTCCAACTGGTTTGGTTCCCTAAGAATCTGCCAGTTGGGAATCTAGCAAGGTACTTGGTCTCCCAGTAGAGTTGGTGCTGAAGAGTATTTTTTGAAGACTGTGAAGTAGTTGATAGGGGTTCCATAGAGTATAAGTTTCTAAGAATCTATCTTATTTTTGTTTAGCTCATATGGTATCATCTGGCATTTCTATGGCTCAGAGATGGCACAATAGGAACAAACCAGTCTGTCTCCTTACAGACTCTTTGATCTCTTTGGGGTTCATACATTTCAGCATTTGGCAAAGTACTAACCTCATTATTTCTATACTTGGTTTTTCTCTGAAGGTAATTTGTAGCATCGCAAAAATCGCAAAGAACCACCAAAGGGTGATGATTCTCCAACACCATCAAGTTCTCAATTGTAGCCTTTGAAAGCTGGAAGGAGAATGCACAACACTTAAATTCTGCTAAAAACTCTCAAAACCTCAATACAGGCTGAACTAAATTATTTCAGAACAAACCTGAGCACCACCAAGAAAAACTCTCCAATTCTTTATACTGATATATTTTCCCTGGACTTAATCAGGTCTTCTTAGAGGTTTACATTTTCTCATTTGCCAAAGATTCTTGCCCCAAGGTGTCTTGTTCAGCTCTCCTTCCCTTTGTGCATCTTGAGCAACTACAGTACTTAGTAGGATAAGCTCTTTATGAATGACCTGGGATCTACAAGGATTCAAGGAAGTACACCTCTTCAGGAAGTTTGGGAATGGTTTTCTCTCACTGACAAAGAAATTGATGATACTAAGGAATGAATGAATGACAGACTCTCAAGGAGATAAAGAGAAGGGGATAAGGATAGCTAGACTTGGTTGTGTTTCTCCCCCAATCCCTACCAATTGAAAACTGAAACTTCAGAAGATCTCTCCTAGTGACTCATCAAGATGAGATCTAGATCCTGGGGGCTTAGGCACTTGCCTGTTACAATGACCATGTGAAATCATTCCTTGTAGACATGGGAATCTCTCTCTCTCTCTCTCTCTCTCTCTCTCTCTCTCTCTCTCTCTCTCTCTCTCGTCTCTCCTCTCTCTCTCTCTGTCTCTCCCTCACTCCACTCTTCCTTTCCTCCCTCCCTCCCCCTCTCTCCCCTCCATCCCTCCTCCCTCCTTCCCTCCCTTCTCTCCATCTCTCCCTCTCTATCTTTTCCCTCTCTCCCCCTCCCTCTGTCTTTTCCCTCTCTGCCTCCTTCCCTCCCTCTTTTCCCTCTCTCTCCCTCCTCCCTCCTCTCCCTCTCTCCCTCCCTCCCATCCTCTCTCCCACTCTCTCTGCAAACTCTTTGTATTTTACCATGTGTGCATGTATGTCTTTGCACATGTCCAGGTGGTGCTCTGGTGGCTGAGTGGGCCCACTGGAACTCACTCATCATAGCAACCATACAAGCTCCCCTTCTACTACCTTGATCCTAGCCTGCATGCCTCCATGGAGTGTTTGCTGGTTTCTTTTTTTTTTAACTAAATGTTTTGCCACTGTGCTGCACTAGAGATTATATAGAGAGACATAAAGATGTATATATATTTTTAAGAACTGAAAATAGAACTCGACTCTAAGTGACCCTCTAATTTATTGTGCTAACCCAGGAATCCCTTCCCACCCCAATTACTCTACACAAACATACACACACACACACACACACACACACACACACACACAAACATCTACCAACTGCCCTCATTCTTGGGGGAGCTTCTAATCTTTTGGTGCATTTTTAGTGTCTTAGAAGTAGCTGGGATCTATTTACAGCCCAGCTGATTCTGATGCCCACTTAAAATTCTGAGCCAGGCCACTGAGGGGGAACAAAAATACCAATGCCCTACAGAAGTGGCTAAGCTGGCATGCTGCCTTTTTTTAGCTCTATTTGTCCTGAACTCTACATCAGCAACTGCCCCAATGTATACTGCCTTCTTCCCCAATAAAAAGACAACATGGAGCAACCAGAACTTGAGCTTTGTGACTTTGATGTCTGAGCTAGGGACTGGCAAACAATCTAGTCACAGCCTAGGCTCTTCCCCACAAGTTCTATCTTGTCCTGCATCTTTTGAACAAGACATTGGGGTAGTCCCCAAAACATCTTTAAATCTCCCATCTTGTTCCTTTCCCTTGAGTATAAGAGGGACATTCAAAATGACCAGAAAGAACATGGACCTGGGGAAATGAAGGTTAAAAGCATCGGCATCCCCATTGTTCTTCTGCCAAATTTCTCATGAAAATGAACTAGGCTTAAATTGCTCCAAATCCTTATTTGAATCTTATTTTTAAATGTATGCTTCTAATCAGGCAAATATCATCAAAACTCAGTGCCCAGAGAGGTTTCTTCTGCTCATTTCCACCCCACCTTCAATTCATACCTTTGGGTAAGTGTCTCTTCCCACTTATCAAGGGAAATCAAGAAAACTAGCCTCTCCCCACTTCTCAGACAAACTTAGTGTACTCAATTACCTGATTCAGTACAATGGCTATTTCATCGAGGTGCACATTTCAGACTCCAAGCACTGGTTCTCAACTCTAGAAATCCACCAGCCTAACCCACTTAAACCAGCCACCTGTGTTCCACGTCTGCAGGGGCGAAGAAAATGTACTAACAAGGGATATTCCCCCAAATGTCTGACTCGTGCCAAACAAAAAAAGTCCTAGCTCTACAACTAGAGAAGAAAGTTAATGGAAAAAGATGACAGAAAGTATTCAAAACTTATTTAAGCATCAGAATGTGTTAACTTACAGTATGTATTTGAGTGGGAAGTATGCTGTTGCTGTCTTGAAATTCTCTGCATCACTCTTTCTTCCCAGGAGGAGGTATTACATCAAATCAGCCAAGGCACCATTGTAGTAGACTTGGCTCCTCCTTGGCTGCATAATTTAACACCTACAGAGTGGGGAACCAGTTGCATTTTTTCTCAGAAAAGCCTTTTCCAAAAGGGAAAATTTCTAAACAAGCAAATTTAAGGAAACAAAAGAAAGTCCTGGTAATATTAGCCTTATCTTGGCAGGGCTGTCTTACAATTATTTGATCACTGATAATAGTCAACTGTATAGGATTCCATCTCTTGTGCTTACTTTGCTGAAGTACTGTAGGTCTTTGTACACTGTAATGCTGCTATTGCTGTATTGTATCATCTGTATTCCCTTTCATCCTCCCTGCCCTCCCACCTGAGTCAGAATGATATTGAATCAAACCATGGATTTGTGACTAGAGCAAATATGGATCAGAATTGGCAGATGCTGAGGCCCAAGAGCCGTGTTGGCTTGCTGAAACTCTCAGTTACCCTTCGAATTGTTTTAGTTAACCAGTTGTTTCCCAAAAGGAAGCTAGCTTACTGCACCGCTCTTGCATATTATTCACTTGGAAACAAAGTAAAGAAGTGCTCCTTCTCTAAAGTGACATTGCCTTAGCCACTGAGAATGTAATTCCCCTTTCAGACTTCATTGTTAGCTACTTGCAGTAATACAGTTGCTCAGGTCGGGGGACCAGAGCATCAAAATATCCATCTCAATTATGTACAGAAATCATTAAGAGCCAAGGCTCTGGGGTTTGGTTGCACTCTTTGGTAGCACTTTCTGAAGATTTGATTGGATGTGTAATTCCTGGCCGAAAAACAGTGGGAAGAAAAAGCCAATAGATTTGAGCTGCCACCAACTATTTCCAGTAGTGATACTATAGGAGGTCAGTGGATATTTTAAAAAGGCCTTTTACTGTGTCTATCAGGACAGGGGAAGAGTAAAGAAGAGATTTTGACTTAATAAATTAAAGACTGACCAGAAGAAACAGTTGTGGTTAATAGTCATTTTCTATCAGGATTCATGCAGAATTTTAGCTTCATAGAGATAGATAGAAACTAATACCAAAGCAACCAAACCCATTCATACTTCCATCTTATAAGGGACCTTGACTAGCTAATTGGTTTTGGAACTACATTTGTCTGTCTGCTAATCTGTAATTCATTATTGTTTTCTGTTCTGTGTTTTTTGCTTCCTCAGAGGCCCCTGCAAATAAGCAGTAGGGCAAGGGCTGGTTAGGGAGGAAGCTGGGTAATCATAGAATAACAGAGAAAAGTAGGAAAGAACAAGATCCACGAAGTGTGCCTATTCCTCTTCCCCCCCAAAAATGGAACACCAGTCCTCAAAGAATTAACAGTAATAAAGTATTGCTTCTTAAAAATATTTTAATAAATGGATAAATGTAATCAACACCATGGCCTCATCATTTACTTCAGCATGGGGAGATTGAATGGTAGTAGACATAGGAGGATTGGATTTGGGTGTCCTTCAAACTCTAAACAATCACTTGCAGATAGGGATGCAGTGAGGGGACAAATAGCAACATAAGTCAAGGCTAGCCATCAGGGCTGGCAGAGTGGCTCAAGTGGTAGAATGCCTGCCTGGCAAGTGTGAGTCAAACCCCAGTAGCACACAAAAAAAATAAAATAGCCATTAGAGTTTATCATAATACTAAAAGGGCTGCCAAAAAGTATTCTAAACCTAGTTGCAACATAGGACAACAGTCCTACCACTATAATTGTCATTGAAGCCAATTTTCTGCAGGGATACAGATATCAATAAAATGAATTATTTGTAGAGCGGTAAGTAAGATGGAGAGGTCCAGCCCAGGCTTGCAACACAAACATCACACTTCCTCTACCCTCCAGAAGAGTTTGAGGTAGGAAGGAGTTCTGTTCAGATCCAAAATGGTCAGGCCTGCAATCAAAAGTGGTTTAATTTCTTCCCTACAAATAGTGGTGTGAGGAACCAAATATTAGTCACATGTTAATAGGTAGGCAA